ATGGGAACTAGAAACATATTTTAACTTTTCTAAAGGAAAACTGAGATTCTCACATAATCACATGCTTCTGGGAGCTGGAGCTTACAGAGAAATACTGTCTATCTTGAGAGGGCGGTGATAGAATCATACGAGTTAGCAACTTGAGAAGAAACAGCATGGAAGCTGCGAATTACGGCAGCATTTGCCCCCTTCCAACTCATCCTGGTCAGTCATGTTCTAGAAGCCTCTCTTCCAAATTCCATGGGGCCTCCCCATAGAAGCTCCTGGGGGATTACTTAAGTGCCTCTTTATAGGTGGGGGCTTCTGGAATCTGAACAGGACCTGGTTGTAAGCAAACTAACAGATAAACACTTCAGCAATAAGATGAGACAAGTGAGAGAGTTTGAAATGACCTTGGGTATTACGTTGGCCTAACAGGTAAGCACAGGAGGAGAGGGGTGTCCAAAGTACTTGATCACGTGTATACTTTAAATCATTGGTGGTAAATATACACTCGATCATGTGGTAAGAAATTAAGAGAGAGCTGTCCAGAAACATGAGTGAGCCCCATCTGTTCCTTGCTAGAACTAGCAAAGGTGCAATCAATATTCCAGTGTGAAAGTTATTCTGCTTAAGAGGCAATTTTTCAGCCTTGGAATGAATTTGTGACTTTGCCTCTGTGCTAGAAAGTAACACAGTTCTCTTGCTTTAGAGGAATTCTGGAAGTGATTTTTAGTAACAGCCACTAGATGGCACTTTGATCATACAGCTCAGGAAAAAAACACAAGGAGTCCAGAGGCATCTTATAAGACTAACAATTTTATTGTGGCATAAGCTTTTGTGAGTTGTTTATGCCATAATACAATTGTTAGTTTATTTCAGCAAAAACAGCAAGGAGTCCAGTGGTACCTTATAGACTAACACGGCTCCAAAAGGTGCACAAAGAAAACTGCCTATTGAAAGCGTATTTTTCATAAAATGCAACTTATAAATAGAAATCATGAAATATTAAAATTGTGTGTATCCATCTCCAAAACATTATGTTAAGAGCATGTTGTTGTTGCAAAGTTAAACACCTGAAAGTTAGGAAATGTCAGAATTATAGTAGTCTGTGCAGCCCTCCCCCTTCCCCCCCGTTCCTATGCATTATGATAGTCTTGAACTACACGATGACATGCTGCTGTTTTCTACAGGGACACCTAAGTAGTGCACAGCATGAAACTGCTATGAGGATGAATCTTGGTTATGTAGAAAAGGAGGCTATTTTATCTAGGTCCCCTGCATTGTTTGTTGCAGAACTTGGGAGACGTGTAGTAACAGAGGG